ATGAATCATTGCGTTATGAATTATTCGCGTGTTTGTTGTTTTCGCGTCGGTGACGCGTTCGCGAAATTCGAGAAAATTAAACCGCGGAAATATACAGCTTATACAGTAGGCCAGAACAAAGACAATCTTAATACATCCAGCGATTGTAAAAACGGACACCATGTTCTGATATCTATCTATAAGATAACTATCGAGAATACACAGATAAGATCAATCATGATCATGATAATCAAAACTAACACTTCGGTTCGTTCTGGTGATTAATTGATTAATCAATTGATTATTTAATCAACCTACGGTAAATGATGTAATTGTGATAGTACGTGTGATTGTTACACATCGCAGTCGATAAACGACAATCAGACTTTGTTCAAACGACAAAGAGTTGGAATAGGTGTAGATGTTTGTCAGAAAATTTATGGAATTTTTGAATTTTCTATTGGAACATGCTGAAGACGTTATCGCTGCTTCAGAGACGGAGCTTCGTGCTTTCTTCACAGCGAGGGAAGGTAACGGCCACGATGGCTATAGATGGCGCCACTTTCCCTTGCTCGCTGTTCCGACGCTTAGAGTCCCTTTAGTATAGAAGGAATTCACTGGACTTTTCTCGTAGCATCACGCTTTGGATTCCGCGTTATGCCTATAGCCTTCGCTCAGCAACTGTGGTTCGTCCTGCCAGAGTTTAGATCCGCTGCATGCTGTTGCGTAGAAAAGGGCTTTGCGGATAGAGCTGGCTAGTGAAGATAAATATATAACCGCTGTTATATCTGTTAGTATCTGTTATTGTCTTACGACTATTATGTGTTGCTCCACATAAACACGCGCGGAACACCGCACACGCGCACGCCACACAAACACGCTCGTTCACGCACGCACGTTCATACCTACGCACACACGCAAGTACTCAACACGCACATGCACATCACACAAGCATACGCACGCACGCACGTCCATACGTGCGCACACACTGCGCACACACGCGCCGCGGCGCACGCATAAACACACACACACACACACAC